AGAAACGTCTGCAGCAGCTTAACGCGATCCGCATTATCCAGAGAAACTGTGCGGCCTACCTGAAGTTGCGCAACTGGCAATGGTGGCGGTTGTACACCAAGGTGAAGCCTCTGCTGGAGGTTACCAAGCAGGAGGAAAAACTCACGCAGAAGGAGGATGAATTGAAGCAGGTTCGCGACAAGCTCGAGTTGCAGCTGCACTCGGCTCAGGAATATGAGCGCAAATATCAGCAGGCGATCGAAGAAAAGACTATGCTGGCCGAGCAATTGCAGGCGGAGGTTGAGCTTTGCGCGGAGGCCGAAGAGATGAGGGCTAGGCTGGCCGCGAGAAAGCAAGAGCTGGAGGAAATTTTGCACGATTTGGAAGCGCGTATTGAGGAAGAAGAAGAGAGAAGCGCCGCGTTGACCCAAGAGAAGAAGAAGTTACAGTTGAACATCAGCGATCTGGAGGAGCAACTGGAAGAGGAGGAAGCTGCTAGACAAAAATTGCAATTGGAAAAAGTCCAATGTGATGCAAAGATCAAGAAATTGGAAGAAGATCTCGCTCTTTCGGAAGATACTAATCAAAAGTTGCTGAAAGAGAAAAAGATCCTCGAGGAACGTGCCAATGATCTTTCACAGACTTTGGCCGAGGAAGAGGAGAAGGCAAAGCATTTGTCGAAATTGAAGGCTAAGCATGAAGCAACGATTGCCGATCTCGAGGAGAGACTTCTCAAAGATCATCAGCAACGACAGGAGGTGGATAGGTCCAAGAGGAAAGTCGAGACTGAGGTATCGGACTTGAAGGAGCAATTGGCCGAGAGGAAAACGCAAGTTGAGGAAATGCAGCTTCAACTTGGCAAACGCGAAGAGGAGCTCAATCAGGTCATGGCGAAGATGGATGAAGAAGGTGCCGCTAAAGCCCAAGCTCAGAAAGCGCTTAGAGAATTAGAATCACAATTAGCCGAACTTCAGGAAGATTTGGAAGCTGAGAAGGCGGCTAGGGGCAAAGCGGAGAAACAGAAGCGTGATTTGAATGAGGAGCTCGAGGCGTTGAAAAACGAATTGCTCGATTCTCTAGATACTACCGCGGCTCAACAGGAGTTGAGAAGCAAACGAGAACAAGAACTCGCGACACTGAAGAAGAACCTCGAAGAGGAAACGTCGTTGCATGAAGCCACGCTCGCCGACATGCGTCATAAGCATACGCAAGAATTGACGGCTCTGAACGAACAGATGGACGCGTTGAAGAAGACGAAGGCGGTTCTGGAGAAGGCAAAAGGATCTCTGGAGGCCGAAAACGCCGATCTGGCTACAGAACTGAGATCGGTCAGCGCAAGCAGACAGGAGTCTGATCGTCGTCGTAAGCAAGCGGAGCAACAGTTGGTGGAAATTAATGCAAAATTGGCCGAGGTAGAGCGAAACAAACAAGAGTTAACTGAGAAAGTGACGAAACTGCAACAAGAGGCGGAAAGTGTGATGCAGCAATTAGAAACCGCTGAATTGAAAGCATCCGCGGCATTGAAGGCGTCGGCCACCTGCGAATCGCAGTTTACCGAACTTCAACAGCAACTGGAAGAAGAGACTCGGCAGAAACTGGCCCTCAGTTCGAAGTTGCGCGCGTTGGAAAGTGAGAAAGAGAGCTTGCACGATCAACTTGAGGAGGAAGAGGAAGCGAAACGTGCCTTAGACAAGCAAGTGCTGAGTCTAAATGTTCAATTGGCCGAAGCCAAGAAACGTGCCGACGATGAAGCAGAGGCGGCTGCCGCTCTCGAGGAGGCCAGAAAACGTTGCGCGAAGGACATTGAGGCTCTCCAACGGCAAGTTGAAGAGTTGCAGGCAGCCAACGACAAGCTAGACAAATCGAAGAAGAAAATCCAGGCGGAACTGGAGGACAGTATCATCGAGTTGGAGGCGCAACGAGCGAAGGTACTCGAGTTGGAAAAGAAGCAGAAGAACTTTGACAAGGTTCTGGCCGAGGAGAAGGCCGTGTCCGAGCAGTATGCCGAGCAACGGGACGCCGCAGAGAGAGAAGCGCGCGAGAAGGAGACAAGAGTGTTATCGTTGACTCGCGAATTGGACGAGCTTAATGAGAAAGTTGAGGAACTTGAACGGGGCCGTAGAGGCCTACAATCGGAACTGGACGAATTGGTTAATAACCAAGGTACCGCTGACAAGAATGTCCATGAGTTGGAGAAGGCGAAACGTGCGTTAGAGTCGCAGTTACAAGAGCAGAAGTCGCAAGTGGAGGAATTGGAGGACGAGTTACAATTCACGGAAGATGCTAAGCTGCGATTGGAAGTAAACATACAGGCGTATCGAGCCCAGTTCGAGCGTGATCTCCAGACTAAGGAGGAGCAAGCGGAAGAAAAACGTCGGGGATTAGTGAAGCAGCTTCGTGACCTGGAGGCGGAGCTCGAGGATGAAAGGAAACAGCGTGCCGCGGCTATCGCAGCGCGTAAGAAAATGGAGGCAGATTACAAGGACATCGAACAACAGTTGGAGATGCACAATAAGGTGAAGGAAGACGCGCTCAAGCAACTGAAGAAACTTCAAGCTCAAATCAAGGATTGCACTAGAGAGACGGAGGAAGCCAGAGCCGCTAGGGATGAACTGGCGGCTGCTTCTAAGGAAACCGAGAGGAAAGTCAAGAGCTTAGAAGCCGATCTGTTGCAACTGACCGAGGACTTTGCCAGCAGCGAACGCGCCAGAAGGACCGCTGAGAACGAGAGGGACGAGCTTCAAGAAGAGGTGAATAACAACGCCAATAAGGGCACTCTGATGTTGGACGAGAAACGTAGACTGGAGGCGAGAATCGCCACTCTGGAGGAAGAACTGGAGGAGGAGCAGTCGAACGCCGAGATCGTGATGGATCGCGCCAGAAAAGGTCAGATCGTGATCGAGCAGTTGACAACGGACTTGGCGACCGAGCGGTCCACCACGCAAAAGTTGGAGTCGCACAAGATGCTGTTGGAGAGACAGAACAAGGAGCTCAAGGCCAAGTTGACCGAACTGGAGACCGCACAGCGCGCCAAAACCAAGGCCACGATACAGCAATTGGAGTCGAAGATCAACAATCTCGATGAGCAACTCGAGACCGAAGCCAAGGAGAGATTCGCCCAGCAGAAGATCAATCGCAAGCTGGAGAAGAAATTGAAGGAACTGAGCCTGCAATTGGAGGACGAGAGACGAAATTCCGATCAGTATAAAGAACAGGCGGAGAAAGTCAATGCCAGAATGAAGGCGTTGAAGAGACAGTTGGACGAAGCGGAGGAAGAGATCAGTAGGCATAAGACCATGAAACGGAAAGCGCAGAGAGAGATGGACGATATGATAGAATCTCACGAAGAGCTCACGCGGGAATTGACGCATCTAAAGAATAAATTAAGGTAATTTCACATCTTTAGTCTCTCTCTCTCTCTCTATCTCACGCACATGCACACATAAATGTGAAGGGATGGAAATATCGTTTAAATGTCAAAAGGCGTTGAAGCTTTTGAGAGGTTTGGGGGTAAAGAATGTTAAATGTTTGGAGGATATTGAGTAGCAAGAGGCTACTGTACCTTTGAATGATTTATATATGTATTATTTTGTGTTACACTTTTTTAGGCCATACGTATCTGTAACCTTAGGCGAACGTAATGAGGCAGTATTAAAGTAGTGTTTTATCTTTGAAGGAAGTGATCAACTTCTGACATGTGTAGGTGTCAAGAGAGAAAAAACGATTGGTATCCTACCTGAGAGAGTTTTTTGCTAGGAAACAATCCCATTAGTGTCCCCAGTGTGCTACAGTGAGTTAAACGAGCTCTTTTGGTTTATTTGAAACCGCTAACCCTGAAAATAATAATGCCGACTTGAACTGCTACCTTGTGTGATAATGACGTATTTCAACCCCCGGCATCCCCATTGAATGCAGTTGTTTGTGAATGTGGTTTTATTTTCATATGTTTTGATCATTGAACCTTTGCAGTACGCACTATTGGTCGGTAGTTTGACGATGCGATTTTCTAGAGAATCTCCGACTTCTCCGGTTTTACGTAACAGCCCTTACATTTAAAACTTCTTACTTGCTATTAGCCAACACGAAGATTTGAACGAAATTTAAATTTGTAAAATGAAATCAATTTAAGTGTAATCCACATATTTTTCATGAATAATATATAGTTCGACTTTGTTACTTGTTTTAGTTCGAGCTACGCATTATTGCATCTAACATTATTATATTTGATATTGAATTTTATATTTAAATATAAAATTAAACTTGAAGAGGGAATTTTTAATCCGTAAAGAAGCGAGAAATATGTTTGAAACTACTGACTGATAGTGTATATTTTGTCGCGTTTATTTATGCACACGTATATTTTGAACAATGAGACATGTCGCTTAACTAATGTAACGTATGATTTGTTTAAAGGCGCGGTGGTCCTCCAATAAGTCTGAGCTCCACGAGGCTGAAACGCGGTTCTGTACAAACCGGCGGCTCGGGCGACGATTCGACGACACAGGACGAGAGCATCGACGGCGAGGAGAATGCCAATTGAGTATCGGAGTCAGTCCAATGTGCTCTCGAACCTCTGTGAATTATGTACATACATGCGTCGAGAGGGTGTTGGCTTTCTTTTTCGTTCGATCCGGCGCGTTACGCGGCGACTAAACTGATGTCTCACGTCGCGAGTACGAGACAAGCTCCACGATTAAAATCAAAAGTCGTTCTCGACAATGTTTCCATGGCGTTCCCGGCCCTAAGATTATTGCGATGAGATAACGCTCGTCTCGAGAGAGAGTTCGATTAACCGATAGGTGCCGACGATCCAAAAGAAAGAGCCAAGAGAGAGACGAAGCAGCGAAAAGGGAAAACGAGAATAATCGAATAGAGGACTTTTGATACATTTTATATAGAACAAACGCAAACGTTGACCGCATTTTACATATATGTATAAGAAAAAGATAGTGTGAGAAAGAAAGAGAGAGGAGAGAGTGAGAAAGGGGTAAAATAAATTTTAGAGAAGGAAACTCTTAATCATGGATAAATTTATTGAAGACTTTATTTAAACGAAACTTAGATCGCGTAAACCTCTCGTAATGAAAAATTTGCGCTAGGGGGAGCATTTCACTTGGACGCAGCCTCTCGCTTAATTTCCTCGAGCTGTCGGACCAATCCGGGACTCGCGAGATCCAACGGAGTCTTGCGCTCCCTGTTGGTGATCGTCAGGTCCGCGCCGTGCGCCGTCAGCAGTTTTGCTTCTTCCACGCGGTTCTCCTCGCACGCGAGATGCAACGGCGTGTTACCGTACGCGTCTCTCTGATCTGAGAAACGGGACAGCATGAAACGAGATGCACGCAATTGCGTATCGATATTGGGAGAGCGAGCGAACCTTTGTACTTCTCTAAGTTATAATCGGAAATATTTATATATAGATATATATATATATATAGATTATATTTGATATTTTATATATTATTATACCGTAATAAGAGAGCTGCATTTCAATAACAAATACACATACATACTCACGCACGTACACACACACAAACAAACAAACAAACAAACACACGCTCCGCTTACCAATGTTCAATTTCTTCCCGTACTCCATGAGGAGATTGACTATGGCGGTGTTGCCCTTGGAGGCGGATCTGTGGAGAGGCGTGGCACCTCGCTTGTCCGCGATGTTCACGTCCGCATCCCTCTCGAGCAACGCCACGCAGATGGACTTCCAGTTCTTAGACGCGGCGTACTGCAACGCCGAGTGACCGTCGACCGTCGTCGCGTTCACGTTCGCCCCTTCGGCCAGCAACGTGTTAACGACTTTCTCGCGGCCGGCGGACGCCGCCAGGATCAGCGGAGTCATGTTTGTCTGCATGATTTAAAAATGTTTGATTTTGTACGAGGATCTAGCTGACGCAACGAACGGATTGAAAGTCTCGCGGTGATTATGCGACGTGCGTTACGCATGTGTGTGTGTATGTGTGTGTGCCTGTGTGTATGCGAGAGAGAAAGAAAGAACAGGATATGCAAAAAAACAGAAATGTAACGTAACGCGCGATGCATTTTGGACGCATTTTTGCTTTATACTTATTTTCTTATAAGTTTTTTTTTCTTATAAATGATCTTTGGAAAAATTATAATATAATTATACGTCCTCAAGTGTGTATTATTAAGATCTCCATCTTTCTTTCGATAGGCCTCTCTGAACGAGGGATGGAATAGCTCTGTGGAGTAATGTGTAAGATTCTGCTTGATATCATGTTAACTTAAACTATTATTCGTTAGAGCTTTTTCAAGTTATGATTTAAGAGGCGTTTCTTAAGTAGGTAGGTCAACGACTCATTGAAACTCAACTAGACTGCTGACTTCTACTAACAATAGATAACGCACTTTCAAGTATTTTTATAAAGAAGATAGAGATATTTTTCACAGAAAGGAAAAACAATGTACACGATTGTACTATTTATTTGTGTTACCAGTGCGCGGCCCGTGTAGAATCTCGTTTGGAGCTACGAGAGCTTTTACGGTCAGTGCGCACAGCACGCAAGAATTTATAATTTTCTTGAGAAGATATATGATATTTTGAGATACAAAAATAAAGTTGATTTGAACATAAGCGCGTACCGCGGGGTGTTATTAACTGTTTTATACAATGCATTTTAACAATCGAAGTTATAACAGTCACATAAACCCGAACAAAATACCTCAGATTCAAAGAGAAATCTGACTTAAATATAATATAAATTGTAAGTATGATCTGACAACGCGGACTTTAATAATCGCGGTTGATATAATTTCGTACGATATCGGTGACAGCATTTTTTATTGACAAAGATGCTCGTGTAATGCATCTAACATCCGGAGGATTAAAGTCACTAAACTTGAGATTAGTAAACTTACTCCGATTGGTGAGAAATTTCATTCTAATCTCAGTCTCAATTCATAATCTGATAAGGGCTTTGTACACATTGTAGCAATTTTTTAAGAACGTATGTAAGAACATGTAAGAATTTATCATTTTGTTTAAATTACCATTTAAATCTTCGTGCAGTTACTGTAGTTTCATTGGTACTTTGGCTACTTTTGCGCGCGCTAAAATGCATCCTTGATCTCAAAATTCACGTCGAAAATCAATTTATTAGAAATCCGGCATGTATGTTGCGTTCGTTGCGTCGCTCTGAATTCGCGATCGTCGCGTGCGGAATTGCGCATGTCGATTTTACCGCGATTCGCGATTACGTTTTTGTGCGCTTAAAAACGGGCGTTCCTCGGGATAAAAAAATGAGGAAAAAGAGAGAAAACCGTCAAGAGAACGCAGCTAAAACGAGAGTAGAGCTGTACGCGCGACGTACCAACTGAGAGATTCGGTCGCTTCGTGCGATCGTACCGTCGAGATTTGCACGCAACTTTCTCATCAGCCTTCCTCTTTCTTCTTTAGTGGCAAGAAAGAGGAAAAGAGTGCTTCGATTTGTAGCTTCAAGTGGACCGTAATAACGAAGCAATCGATGCCCCGATCTTCGATACGGAATTTGTCCGAAATTTGAAAGAGCAAACTGTACTACAGGCACCTGCTAAACCTTATCGATGCGAGATTTGGGTAGATTTTTAATTGGTCTCTTTACTCTTATCACTTTATTGCAATGCCATTGCTATCACGCGCAGCATTGCACCTTGTACTCTTCGTAGCGAAATTCTCTTTTCATCTTCTCCCCCCCCCCCCCGAGATCTAATTATGGCCGCGATTAAACTGCCGCAACAAATGCTTTCGTGGTGATTTTCTTCTATCTTCACTGAAAGAAAGCGTTTGGTAGCGGCAGCTGGACCGCAGCCACCGCGGCCTATATCGCTTCAAGTGCGAAAAGTCCGCAACACGGTGCAGCTACGAGGACATGTCTCCCGTCTGTTTACGGTCGCGGCTACTTGCCGCGCGTTGCGATGCGTGGGCGATTTCTTACGTCGTCCGTGGGATCCACCGGCACGTCGAGGGACAGCAAATGCCTGACCAGATCGTCGTGCCCGCCCAGCGCCGCCCAGTGTATCAGCATTCGGTCGTTCTGCAAAGGGAAAGAGATGAGAGCGCGACATAACCTCAACGGGAGCGACGCTGTCCGCGACGCGGATACGAACGCTGTCCGTTTGCGTCTTCAGCCTCTCGTTCTCGCTCAGCAGAATCTTCACGGCCGCGGTCCTGCCGCGATACGCCAGGTCGTACACCGTTGACTCCTGCTGCGACATTCTTTTTCGGCTCGCGAGCTTTTCGCCGGTGGATCGACGAGACGGACGCCCTCCGGGATGTACGTTTTGAACGCGCGCGAAGGAATTGACGTTGCAGGAACTGGTCACCGCTGCTGGCTCGTCACGATTGTCCCGATTGGCCGCAACGCGTTACAATTACGCGCGCGACAGCGTGATTTGACGCGCGAATGGCAGCGTCACGAAGTTTACGCGTAAACTGGAATGATGCGTGAAAAGTGCGCATCACGCGCATCATGGCGTTGTGTTGATCGCAATCTCACCGGCAGCGAGAAAATATTCGCGATGAATGAAACCTTTGAGGTGGCGATGAAACAGTTGAAGCTGTCGATCGTTTTGATAATTTTGCAATTTATTATATAAAATTTAAAAAATCGTGGTTTTGTTCATTGGCGATGTCGGTTGATATTTTACGGGAAGAAACGAGTTGCGCGAACAATTTGTTGCGTCTAGAAACAATCCGAATTATCTGGCGAGTTTTATATTTATTTTCAGATCTTATCGAGTCGTTTGCGATCTATTTGACAACCTAACGAACGTTGACCCAAAGGATAACATTTGCAAAAGTGCGTTCAACCCTGGCATGATCACCCTGGACCAATGTTTACATTCCAGCAGCGAGAAAATGATGCTCGGTCACCGCAGTTTTCTCTTACTGATCGGGAATTTGCACTCGTTCTCTTTTTTAGGAACTTTGAATTACTCTTTTTAAAACATTAATTTTGAGTAAATCTATACGTCGAGAAAAGTCTCTTGTTACGAGATAGCGGAGTTTCTGTTAAATTACGAGGTTCCATCGTAAATATATTGCCCTTGGAGTAAAATTTGTTTAGTGGAAAGTTCATTGTTAGATTGTGTAATCGTTGCGAAAGATTTGCGATTGAATTTGGATGTTGAAAACCTGCTATCTCATATCAGAAGCCCAGATAACAATTCTTGCGCGCAAATTTTGCTTGTCTTATGCGTGCAAATTCGTATGAGATTTGCCTGAGTTTTGCCCGTAAGATACGTTCAGTCTGTGCTTTTGCACGCAAGTGACTAGCTCATGTATTAACGTGTAATTTTGCGCGCAAATATCTATCGACTCACATACAAAAATGGCTCAACAACGCAAGCAAAATTCTATCAAAGTGCGTCGTCATAATGCTAGATGTTTGCGCGCAAAATGTTTTCTGCGTATTTCAAAACAGGGGACTTTCCTCTATATATCATTGCAAACACTACGAACATATGGAATAGTTGGTAGCTTCTAATTGGGGTGTAAAAAACACAGATAATCGTTTACGCGAAGAGAGTAGATGATCATCCCAGGATTAATATAAGTAACAGAAAGATATTTAATTTTATGAAAAATTTATTATCTTACACTCACAATATTCGAGGTAGCAGATACTATTTGGTGCACGTGAAACAAATTGCATACACAACAAGACACACAGTAGAATAATTATATAACGTAATGCAAATGATTATCATTAAAAGTAAAAAGAGTAGTTTTACAAAGTTTAACACCTGGAACCCTAACGGAATCTTCACTGGAATTTATACTTTAGATGCCAACTTTAATTAAGAAAAGGTAAGGAAATGCAATCTCGCAAAATTAAAACCCTTAACTGTACCATGAAATCCTCGTATCTTAATATTTGTATTTGAAATTCATTTTTATCAGATATCGCACTTTCACCTGAGCGACATCGTATACAATGTATTCATTGTACAACAATGCCGAATTTTTGTCGAGCTTGGTAGACACCCCCTTTCCGTAGGGTACTTCGACGCCATCCTTGGTCTTGTAAACCTTTTGCGGATCGGGCTGCGTCGTGCCACGACCAAGCGTCGAGTGTTTTCCCTTCGGGAGCTTCTCGATGTAATCCGCATGATACCTCTCGTACATATTACCCAGAGCGACCTCGCAGAGCAGCAGCAAACCGGTTGGATTCTGGCTGTGCGTGCAGCAATAGTTTGCGGACTTGGACACCATGTCGGCGAAGTATATACCCTTGCCGAACATGTAGCCAGTAACGGGCGCTTCCGGCGGCGCGATGCGCAGACCCTGCGATAGAATTCCGGCATAATTTGTGGTCCTAGACCCGTGCCAGAGCAACTTTCTGTTGGGTAATTTCTTGAACGGTTTGAACCTCTGTTCCTCGCCGTTTCTCTTGACGACAAACACCTCCTCGATCTCGAGGGCGTATTGCATATGGGTGGCCGCGTGAGTGTTCTTGACGTACGTCTCAATCATCTTGAACTCTTCGCTCGTCTTGTCCAGCACATCGATGTCTGTCTTCAGCTGCTTGTAATGGCTGTCGAGCGGATTCTCCTTCTCGTCGGTCTTGTCGCACAGAAGATTGTACGCGATCTCCATCTCAAGCAGCGCCTCCAGCATATCGCACTTGCTCTGAATCTCCTCCGACGTTTCGAGTATCTTCGGTCCGGACACCCCAAAGTTGTGCGGTATCAGCGTGTAGAATCTGTTGGAAGCGTCGATCAGCGTGGTGCGGTCTACGTTACTATTCTTCAGTATCTCTTGCAACTCCGTTAGAACGGCATAGGCGCTCTCGATTTGTTTCTTGGACAACTTCCCGAGCGGCATCTTGTCCATGTCTATCTCGAACTCCAACATGACCTTCTTCATCTCGGCCACGTCGAAAATAAGGCGCATCAGGTCCTGAAGTGGTTTCTGCAGGTTACTCTTGATGTCCGAGTCCAGGGAAGCAACCTCCTGATCCCCGTGATCTATGTCGATCGGATACATCAAATTCGGCCTCTTAACAAAGTGATCCCTGTTCTGCCACTCATTACCAGTCTTCTCCTCGTACAACGATTCAAACTGACGTACGCAAACATCCAAGGAGTTTTCCTCTAATTTGTTACCACCGATCGTGGTGCCAATCCGGCCCCAACTTCTAAACAACCAATACCACGACTTATGATCATGCTCCAGAATTTGCATCTTGTAGTAACTGTTCTTCTGCGACTGTATGTCCGTCAGACCTAACGTCACGGTGTATTTGTCCTTGCCTTTCTGATAAATGTGCGCAGTATTCTCCAAACCGCTGTCGGGATCAATAGCACCGCCGCTTTTCACCTTTACCTTCACTTTACCGGAACTCGACTTCTCAAACCTGCTCTTGCTCTTGGAGGCACCGGATTTCGCGATGACGTTAGACAGCCTAGCGTTAATATCGCCGCCCCAGCTAGAAATGGTCTTCTTTTTCAGAAGCATGATGGGGGCATCCGTGTACTCCTTCGCTTCTTCTATAAAATCTTCCGTAATCACTTGAATGTCCTGCAACTTGACATCCTCCATTCTCTTATTCATCTTTTCCACCTCGTTTTCGTTCGAAATTACAGCGGCCAAATCTTGATGGATCTTTGTTGTAACAGTACCACCTAACAGTTGAATGTCTTTCTTCAGTTCCTCTTTGTCTCTCTGTGTACGACCTAGTATAACAAATTGCATGTTCTTCAAAGGACGCGGCTTTCCTTGTACTTTCGGTCCATCGGCTTCATCCTCCTCTTTCTTAATAGAACTCGACGACGACGGCGCTGTTACTTTAAACATTCGTCTCTTTACCTTGGACTTGTATGACCTAAGAACAAATGACGAGTATTAATAAATCATATTTATTAATAATGAAATAAAGACACGCGTAGAATTGATTTATTTAATTAAGTTCCATATTGTCTGACGAGAGGAACTTACTTAATTGGGAAATCTTTCTTCATGTCGCTCGGTATCTCGCACTTTTTTCTTTTTGGATCTTGTGTAACGTATTCGCATTTAGACCATTCCGTAGCATTACCAGTGCACTTATAACCCAAACCAGAGTTGTATATGAGTTGCCCTTTACATTTTGGACAGGGTTGTAGAGCTCCAAAATACATTATATCAGATAAAAGGGTTAAGATCTAGAAATAAAATTCGAATAAAGTAATATAATAAACGTATCAGAAAATAATATACTAAACAGATTAACGATACGCAATTCAAGAGACAAATAGAGACGTCTCATGATAGAAAACTATAAAGCACTTACATTCGATTCGCCAGTTGGAATCTCCTGACGATTTTTTACCAATATCTCAATCATGTCTTTTTTAGCAAGGCCTGACATTTGATCCTTTATCATGTACAGTTCTTCATTTTGCTTCTTTATAAACTTTTCCTCCTCCGCGTCTTCCTGTTCGTCCTTGACCTTTTTAGGAGGTGGCGGCACGTCACCCTGAGCCATCTTGGGCAGCGAAGCCTCGAGTTTCTCGCGATCTTCCTTCGAGAGATCCGTGGCACCCGGGAGCTCGCTTCCCCTTCCGTAATATCCCAGGTCCGCTCTCAGCTTCGCGAAGCATTCCACATGATACCATCTGTCCATACCACCGAACCTCCTAGCCTCCTCGCTCTCGTAATCCTTCTTTGATATTCTTGTTTCGCCTTTTACTATCTTCTCCTCGCACCCTTTACAGGTGGACCTGCTGGACTTGGCGTATTCCACTTTGAAGTCTCCAGAACCGCCGCCACCCTTGGTCCTCTTCCTCCCCTTTGCTGGAGGTGCGTCACGGGCTTTCTCTGCGATATAAGAATTAACTTAAAGCGATGAAATTAATGCATTAAAATTACTGTTCTTGCTCAGGTTGTTTACCAACCGAGATTCTTCCGAATTGCATCTTGGTCTGCGTTGCGAATCTCATCGAAACAAGCTATGTCGTTGGTAGACTTTGGCCTTTGTTTCATGAAAAAGCACTTGGAGTGATACCATTTAGGTACCTTCCCGTCGTGAACTGGGCTCTGAAAATCATAGACAATATTTCTATAACGAGATTTACTCCTCATAGTAATCTTTTGGAGGTGCAGCTTGAAAGATCGGCGTATCTTCTAGTAAAAAAAACACGATTTGTTTAAATATTCAATTATAAATACTCGGAGTAAATTTATTCAATTTCTTGCCCGAAACGAGCGTAGTGCGAATAAAGGTCGACAACACGTTACATCCTAAGGAAGGAAATATATTATTAAACTTTCTAGGCAATCGTGTTTATATACACTTTTTTTATAACCCGAGTCGAATAAAGGCTTATTTTCTATTGCTCCACTGTTAAGCTAAGTGCGGTAAGCCAGAGTGAGAAAAAATATACTTGTCTCACTCTAATTTATTGCACCAATTCACCAGTTCAGCAACAGAAAACAAGTCCTGAGAAGACTGCAGCGGGGAGAAAGCATTTGCACACAGATATTGGAATACATAATTCCATATGCGTCGCAATAGCGATGGCATCACGCGAGTGACGCGGTCATCCCGAATGCCGAGTGGCACCGTCGGACGCGTTATCATGGTCCAGGATCGATAGTTCGATGATAACACCGTCGACCTGGTGCGCGCTCGTAATACTCATTGTATCTTTGTAAAGTGAAACGTGGCTCGCCATTTATTGAAGTACCGCGCGAGACAGACGAGACGTTCATTCGCGCGGTTTCTCGCCATCGCGAAATTCGGCACGCACCTGAACGACGGCGGCGAGCCTCAGGCTCAGCTTGCTGATGGATTTCTTGCATAATTGGCACTTGGACCGGTCGCTCTTCGCATATTCCACCCGATACGGCAGGTCGTCGCCCATCTTGCCGAATGTCACCTCCAGTCGTCGTCGAAAACAATCGGAAAGCAGTTGCGGGTTGCGATTCGCGCGCGAGGACACCGGTTAATATGTCGACTTGTAGCACCGACACCGGTCACGTTTTTGGGCATGGATAAAGGCGCCTACCGATGGACGCGGCAAATGTCGCGCGCGCAGCAGCGCGGCATTTCAGAGGGCACTAGATTCTAGGGGCTTCTCTTAAGGCCTGTGTCCACGATGCTAGAATTTGATCAAAGTTCTAGTTCCGAGAAATGTGTAGCCAATGAACTTGTAGTTTTTATGGAATAGCTGCGAGTTGATTGGCTACACATTTCTCGAAACTAGAACTTGGACCAAGTTCTTGGATCGTGGACA